AGAAATATTAAAAAAACTTTCAAGAGTTTCTAAAAGAGAAAAAAAAATCTAGTAAAATTCCATTCATAGGTACAAAATATTCTTCTTAATGCTTTGATGTTCTTGGTCTACATCTGTTTTTGCCCAATATGCCAAACAAATCTAGCTAATATTGTAAATGTTTGAAAGAAAAACTAGAAGGTACTGCAGATAGGATATTTCTCTGGGAAACCCAGGTGACCTCCCGAGTAGGCCTCCCAGGGTGCTTCTAATTCCACTCAGTCTTGGTCTGGACCTTGGTCCTACATGTTCAGAAACCAGATTTACCAGCATGCCCAGAACAGATCCATCTCTCAGAAGCACAGTCCCAATAGCCAACCTCACAAAGACAGAAAAACACAGAATTCCAATTGGTTAATTAAAATGGAAAACAGAACTGCCAAGATGACTGGCATCCTTTGGCAAACACTCATGACAGGCAAACTCTTCAGAAAGGTGAATTTGAAATCAAGGTGCTTTGGAGCATGGGGTTAGAACAAGAGGTCTTTGCTACAGGATTCCCGTCTTCATGGACTCCGGGCCTGATGCAGCCTTCCTTACAATAAATATCCATATGGCCCCCAAATAACATAAGTTAAATCCTCAACTCAGGGCACCCCAGTTGAGAGCAGCATTTACAGGTACCACCGCATCTGCCTCCATGGCTTTCTGTCTTGTTTCCTCTGCTGCTGATGAATCCCATTCAAAGTAACACTTTCTTACTGTAGATATGTCTGTATCTTCAATGAGGTCTCAAAGTGTTATCTTCGAGCCTGTCATTCCTTCATTCAACAAATATTTTTTGAGGTTCTGTTATGTACCAGGCACTAATTTGGGTAGGGGGATACAGTAGTTAACAACATAGGCAAAAAAATTCCCCAGTTCCATGAGGCTTACATTCCCTCTCTCTGTTTTAACTTCTGCTCTTCTGCCTCTTGAAGATGACTTTGCACTATGGGCAGATTTTATAGGTTAATTATCACAGGCAATCAAACTTTTTCATTTATGACTGTTGCCATTATGTATTGCTTATAAATACAAAAAGCAGGTGATGCATTCTGTTAGGGTTTTGGAAAAAGGAGACATGTCTAAGTTAAATAGGTGACTACACAGCTGGAGTCCACAGACGAAAACTGAATTTCTAGGTCATTGCTTGACACACCAGAGAGGTATGTTTTTGCCAGTAATTGAGAGTCTTGTATTCTTTCAGGAGTAACCCAACAAAGAGGATGTTAAACAAAAATGTAAGAGGGCGGGAAGGAACATAGGCTTGAGGGTTAGGAGAACTGGGATATATGTTCTACAGTCTATCTCAGCCAATACTCAGCCATGGCCTAGGCAAGTCACCCACACTCACCAGGTCTCCGACCTTCATTTTAAAAATGATAGGGTTTGCCTAAATCATTAAGGCATTGACAGCAGAAAAATATTAATTTTCTCCTGACAAAAGGTAACAATATTCTTTCCCATCTCTATCTTCCTTACAGAGCCAGGGGCCATGCCTCCCACTCAATGGCCACTACATGAATGCTGCTTTATCAAACACAGAACCTATTGTGACAGTAGATTGGCAGCTGAAGTCACCAGTGTTCCAGGTAAGATGTTTATTGATCTTTCAGATAAGATGTTTAAAATGTTCTGTTGTTACTGAGCTCTTCACCCAGCCCTTTCTCACTTAACCTTGCTCATTGTGTTCATCCTAAGAGCCATTTGCAGCAGTCAAAACCTTCTTAAATGCCACACCTGAGAGACCCATTTCAGCCTTTACTGCTAGGCTGCCGCAGCTGGGAGTGACACACCCCTTCCTTCTTCCAGCAGCTGCCAGACCTTCCCTCTCTCCTGGCTGCCCCTCTTTCTTCGGCTTCTTCTCAGCTTTCCTCACCACCAGCCCCATAAGCAGCATTCAGCAGGTAACTGCCCTCAGCCTGGGAAGACCACTGGCAGTTCCACCTTGAGTGAGATGGCTCCCCAACCACCCAGGGCTTCGGCCCAAATGGGGACTGGCCTGCTGGGCACTCCTCTTGGACACCCCCAAAGATCTCTAAGTTAGAAATGTAAAACTAAACCTTCCATCTTTCTCCCTCATACTAAAAACCTTTATTCTATACTACTTGATGCAATGAATTGCCTTTCTTTCATTACCCACCCCCTTTCTCCTCCTTCCAAATTAATCCATCACCCAATCCTTTCTGACTCTATCCCAGAAGGCTCTCAAACCATGTTTTTTTGCCATTGCCTTGAGATCCTTACCCCTTAACACTGTCTCCCAGCCTGAAGGCTCTCTTATAACTGTTGATACTTGCCTCCTTGTACAGGTAATATGCACACATTTGTGATTTCTCCATAACTAGACTATAACTTCCTTGGATACAGAAATCTAGTCCTTTTAAAAAAAATTATCCTCTGTGGTAACAGTGTGCTTTGTACATAATAAGTGCTCAATAAACACTTTGGCAACAGAGAATGGCAAATTTGCCAATTATCTTGAAGTGACTGCACTTCTTCCCCCAAAGAGAAGCTCATTAGATAATTAAATATTTACTCTAACTGCTTTCCAGCCCAATTAACAACGTTATATATATACACAGACTATACACACAGACACATGCACACACGTATGCCCTTAGCTACCTTTAAGTCAATCTTTTAGCAAACACAGAGGATCCATCTCCCAAATAATTAAATCGCAAATTGGCTCATATTTTTTGCTCCTGGACTTCCTTGAGAAAATGACACAATGCCTAGTAGCAAATGAGAGATTATATTGCAAATCTAAATCCCCAAAATGCCACCAAGCATAGGTCATGTATCTTTTTTTCTTGCATTTTGATCCCATTGCTATGACTTAGTGTGGTAATTATATTATAAAGCTATTATTTGATGAAATGAAAGTGGCAAAACAACTTAAATGCTTGTCTAGAAAGATTCTGTTAGGATGCAATTATAAGTGGAATTACAATGGCAAAATAATTGAAATGCAAGTCTGGAAGGCACAGTTATGAAACCATTCAAATGCTTCTGTTGGGAACTCACAACATTGAGTGTAACTATACACTCCTAGGGACACATTTTTTAATTCACTAAAGCAGACAACATTTATGGAGAGATGAAAATATGGGCTCCAATTGTTCCACAGCATTATCTTCACTTCCAAATGCCACCTGAGGGCATGTAACATCATCAGGGGTTATAGGTTTACAGGAAGTACTGATAAGGAAATCACCCGTGGAGCTGCGCTTCCATTGGCACCAAGAAGATAAAGGCATAAAGGCAAGCTTAGCTTAGGCTTCTCTGAAATGCTTCCAATATAAAAGCTAGGGTCATAAGGTGAAAAGATTTTATTCTAAATTTAAACCTGTAATTATTAAATATTTGTGCAGATGTGTTTCTAAGGATCTATCTCCTTAAAATATTCTGACATATTCCTTTAGCAAAATCTTGATAAACATTTTGATGTCCACGCTTACTGTGGGTATACTTGCTCACCAAAGGAAAAAAACAGAAAGAAAATACTATATACAAAACAGATATGCTGAAATGATCAATTTGACAAATGACTAAGAACACACCTTGAAATCACGTTTTGCACTCTGATGGTTGAACACACGAGAGTCAGCCAGCAAACCATGCAAGCAATTCCCGGCTCACCCCTCACAATCCATCCACTCTAATGCATCTAATTCTTTAAATTAAGGGATTAAGGAAACAAATGATAGGAGGAAGTCATAAAAGAGAAACAAGTGTTGAAGGAATAAGATGTAAACCATTTTCTCATTCATGATTACCTTTCTTGCGTTTGTCACAGAACACGTTAGGAAATGGCATTCAATTTTTTTTCCACACAGAAAATCTCGCAGCATCAATGATGATACATGACTTAACAACATTGTGAGGTTTCCACAAAAAGAATTGTATACTTTTGTTTTTCAAGCTTTAGTTTTAAAAAGTCCCTTTGAAATATACAAGTATTTTTACTTTCTTTCACAGACTCTGAAACATATCAATAGATTTAACCTGCACATAAACGTGTTTTCTGAGGTATTCTTTGCAAAAAAGTTTTGAAAGTCCTCATGATTTAATGCAAGAAGTGTTTGCAGTAGAATCTTAAGTGGTTGGGAATATTCCTCTGTGTGCTTGTTTCTTGGTCTTACTTTCCCTTCCACAAGAGAAATGAGTGGGAGTGTTAACTACAGCTTTGTAACTATATGACCCTTGAATGCATGGTAACTTACAAGGATCAAGTCTGCTATCTGGATACAGTATAAAGTGGTCACATTATTTTTAACACATGTAATGTAATTTAAATAATAATATGATTTGAAATAAATCTTTAAATCATATGAGGAAATGAAGTTTTTCCAGTTTAGGCACAAAGGTATCAACTTTCAAAAAAAAAAAGTCATCTAAAGAAAATTCTGGGAGAAAGGCTATCTCAAAAATAAACAAGCAAATATACACATAGATTAGGAAAAACAAAAATTAGCTAGGTCTCAAAAGCATTTAAACTATAGCATTACACATAAAATTTGGAGTTTGGAATTTGAAGTCACATCTGTCAGAGTTTTGCAGAAATAACCTCAAATAAATTTCATACAATAGATTTATTAACTTCCAGGAGCATATCTTTAGACTTAAAAAAAGGAGAAACCAATACATTTATAATAGTATAAACCAAGATATGTTGCTCTAATGCATTTTAAAAGACATAAAAATATAAATCGGATTGACGGATGGAAGGAAAGACAGATGAATAGATGATAAAGAAAATAGAGTAAATCTTAATTATAGAATCTGGGTGGCAGATGTATATGGATATCATCATACCTTATTTCTGATTCTTTTGTATGTTTAAGACTTTTCATAATTAAGTGTCAGGAAAAAATACAGTGCTCTAGATGAAAAGTGTTTATTCCATTCATTAACCATGCTTAACCAGCAAGATTAACCAGCAAAAATTTGCCTCACTGACCTGACGCACTCACCTAGCCATCCCGATCCGGAATTTGGTATGCAGAGGGCTGTCTCAGCGCTAGGCAGCACAAAGCCGACGACAAACACCTCCACGCCGTCTGCCATCAGGGCCATGCCCAGGACGATGAAGAGGACCCACTGGAAGCGGCCGTGACCGCACTCCTGGATGATCAGCTCGTACTGCTGGGCTAGTTCCTCCTCGTCCGCTTTCCTCTCTGACTCCAGCTCCCGGCGGTCCTTGTACTCATGGCCCTTGGGCTGCCCCACCGACACGATGCTGTCTTTCCCCTGGGTCACGCCGGGGATTCCCTGATACTCCCCTTCGTAGATCTCGTCGTCTTCGTCGTGGCCCTCAGTAGCGTCGCTGGAGCCTTCCCCGTCGTTGGCCTCTGCGTCATAGGCTTCTCCGGGCGGGGAACAGTCATTATCCTCCTCTTCATCCTGGAACCGAGAATAGGACCTCTGAGTGTACTCATCCTGGGCCCGGTCCACTGCTTGATTCACCTTCTTTACTGTTTGTTTCTTCACCTCCTTGGCAATGTCCTTGGCACCCTTCATCAGGGAAGTCCTATCCTTGTAAGAGTCTTCCATCTTATCTCAACTGATGGCCAATGAGGAGACGGCAGCTTTTCACAGACTCTAGTCAGCCCTCACAACATCTTCCACTTTGGGTTCAAAACGGTGCTGTGAAAAAAAAACAACACAGGAGGTGTTTATTATTCCTTCCTAATCTTGTTCACCATCTAGCTCCTCGCCTTGTCACTGCCCCCTCAGACCAAGGCACAGAATTAGCTCTTCCTTTCTTTGATGTCACTGTGCACATGTACACCAGATACTGGTTCTCTGCTCCAGTGCGATCAGCCCTTGGAGTATTTAGGGTTTTACTGTGATTGCTACTGGTTTGTTTTTAAAGGATTCTGTCCCCTGGGTAACTGCAGAGAAGGCACAGGCATTCCCCTGAGAGCAAAATGGGACATCAGTCACCTCTAAAAGTCCATCCAACACATTTTGAAAGCATTATAAAGATACACCATGATTGAGAAAAATTATATTGCTCCCAGACATACCCACACACTGCAAAGGCAAAACCAGAGTCTGACATTCTTCCTCACTTTGAAAACAAGAAGAGCAGATAAGCAGCCCTATCTATGATGCTATCTGATCATACATACATTTGTAAAATGCATTTCCCCTCTACTTTCATTGTATCTCCTTCCAATAAATGATACCGAGACTCACATGGTGCCCCAATCGGACAATGAATGTTTACCCTAGGGAAGCAGCTGTATCTGTAGGAAACTGGCAGAGTTCACCAAATGGTTGCACAGATACCTTTGATAATCACCGAATTAGCACATTTCACTTGTCTAGTGGCGTCTGTCCTTTCAGAAACCACCCCCAGGGACAGGGAAGCCACAGGCAATGTCCCTTCACCACCGCACCACGTGAATACTACAGGTTGGGTCTGTACCCTCTACCCTCTTTATCTCTGTACACACAGGGGCACACACCTCCCACCTTGTCCTGTGCCACTCCAGTGAACTGCTGTCTGAGACCCCAGGGTCAGAGGTTCCCATGACCCTTTCAGGTTTCTTTCTCATTGGCAGCCCAGCCCCAACTTGGCTCATTACATTCGGGCTGACCTCATGCTAACCAACATTTCACTCACCCACTGAGCTGTCTCCTCAGGTAAGCCAATGGCAGGCCCGCCCTTGTACATGGATGATATAAAGGTGAAAACGTCGCTTTCCCCATCACTAACAGTCAATCCCTGCACTGTGGCAGTGTTCTAAACAGTGGTTTCTATAATGGCCATTTCTGATTTTTCCTTCTGTATGCAGTATAAAATACTTGGTAAGTGGTTATGACAAACATATGTTGAAACTGCTCATTCAGATATCACAAACTAACATAGCAATGAAGACAAAAACATGTTTGTTGACAAAGCAACTATACATGGTTACAACTGAAAACCTACAAATGCCCAAAAGGAGGCAGAACAGAAGCATGGCTCTGCACAGGTCTGTTCTTAAAGATGAACAAAATGAAATTAAAATCAGCATATGATTACAAGGCTTTGTGCCAAATGTCTTAATGGAGGTTTTTTTCTGTTCCCATTTTCTTTCTTTTTGGAGAGCTGAGGGGCAGGGGAAGGGAGGGATGGGAGGATCCACAAGGAGAATATGGGGAGATGGGCAAGCAGAGGGAGAGGAGGCTGAGGACAGGTTGCTCAGACACTCGAGGCAGGAGCAAAGAAAGGAAGGGACAATGGGGATCAACGATGTCAGAGACAGGGAGACGTATCCTACTGTAAAAATTAAAAGCAAAATTAAAACATTTCACATAATAGACAAAGCCAACTGCTCTACTATCCATAAACCGATGATCTCCGACACTGCACCCCACCTGCTTCCTGCGCATATCAGCCGGAAACTCCACGAAGTGAGGCCAAAGGGCCGGTGAGCCGGGAGCCCTGCAGCGCACCACCCCGCGACCGGCGAGCCTGGTAGGATCAGACAGCTTCTGAAATAGCTTTTTCTAACAAAAACGAAATAAACGCTTGCATTTGGCTTTTCTGCTTTTGTTCCCAGTCACAGATCTTACCACAAGCTTTAAGGGGCTCTTAGCCCCAACAAGGCCCTGTGTGGGAGCCACCCCTCTGAGAGAAAACAGGCATGGTGTCTTGAATAGCATGGTACTGACTGGAAAATGGATAATTCTAACTCCCTCAGTAATCTAATCACAGGAGTATTTACGAAAGTAAAAAAGATTTTTATGATTAAATATTTAGCTTTGTAAAAATGTTTTTTGTAAAAGACTTAGTTTTAATTCTCGGCAAAACAAGGAATGTGTGTATTTAACTTCTTTCTACTAAAGATTCCTCGTGCCAAAAATCCAAGCTCCAGCTGATTTTCTGATTCTTGACTGGAAGAGTCTGGGCCTTGCAGTCTGTCGTCTCACTGAAGTGAAGATTCTTCAGTGCTATTGCATCAATGAGGGCAGGTATGAATACTGCCCAAAAATTCTGTTTAAAATCAGATGTTTGTCCATGTTGCCATTGGGGGAAACTAGGTGAAGGGTACAGGGGATCTCTCCCTATTATTTCTTACAACTGTATGTGACTCTACAGTGATCCTAAAATAAAATGTTAAACAAGAAAAAGAGTTTGTACCATCCTTACTAAGTAATCTTGGAAAATGGGCAAGATGCTTGGCTAGTGGGCAGGTTACTTAGAGGGCAGAGTTGTACTCTACGGCTATTCCAATCTCTCTCAGATAAATGGAAAAAATGCAAAAAGCTTGGCTCATTCCAGAGATGACCAGGAAAAGGACACATGGGTATTTGTGTTGGAAGGTCATGCCTGCATTAAGGCAGCAGTGCTGAAGGGGTGGCCCCTGAGGAGGCCTCTGGGCAGCTGTTGATGGCATCATCAATGTCTGTAAACAGCATATACATACCAATGTGACTCACTCAGTCACACACATCGTATGTACCAGGCACCATTTTTAAGAAAAAATGGTTTGTTTAGTGCTTATTCTACACCAGGCATTGTGCCAAGTACATTATATAAATTCTTTTATTCTTTTATCTGATTCTTACTTCAATCCTACAAAACAGATACTACAGTCTCCATTTTACAGATGAGAAAATTAAGGCTTAGTGAGATTACATAACTAGCCCTTGGGCACAAAACTTGTCAGAGGAGATTCTGGGCTCAGCTTCAGATGTGTCTGGTCCCAAAAGCTTGCTCCTTATCCCCATCTGCCTTACACAGTGCTCTTGCTGAGGTCTTATTAAATGTCAGTCTGAATAGACATTCTAATAACTTGTTTTCCTGTATGAAAACTGTTTATAGATTCTTTGCTAAATCATCTTATAGGTTCTGAAACAAGGAGAATTACTGTGATATCTTCCATTAGTGATAGACTTTATATGGATAATAATTCCAAAATATTGTCTTGCTCAGCCAGATAAACTATCCCAAGATGGTGGCTGTACTACAAAAGGTGATAAAGTCATGTTGAATAAGCTATCAGTGGGCCACAGGCCAGAAGGGTGGGCAAGAAGGCAAAGCAGTGGACCTCTACCCACCTCCAGGGCAGTACATGCTGCGCCTTGTCCTTTATACAAGTCGATGCTTCTCCACCAAATGACGGTAACGATAACTACTTTATAGTGTGAGGATTAAATGAGTTGGTGTTTACACCATGTCTAGGTCAGAATTAGACATAGATTAAATGCTCTCAATTCAGGTTCCCCAGAAGCAAGCCCTGCAATGAGGAGTCAGGTTCAAATGATTTATTAAAAAGGAACTGGTAAGTAGGTGGAAGCAGCAGGTAAGGGAGGGTCAGGCAAAGTAGGATTGCAGTTTTAGACAGTCCTGTGAGGTGGGCCTCAGCCTGATCCTCAGCTGTCATTCCTGATAACTCTGGAATTAAGTTTTGCCTCAGAGTTTTTCCCACTCACGGCACAGCGCTGGACTATCACTTGCACACCTGTCCACTGCTGGCTGAGGCCCACCCAGAGGTGAGGACAGACTGTAGGCACTTCCAGCTTTAAGCCCCAAAAGACAAACAGTCCCAGTAGCCCAAGGGCAGTCCTCTGAAGAGGTGCTTGGGGCAGAAGCAAAGGCCACTGAAGCCAGGGGAGCAGGGCTGGGAGGCCACAAAAGGGCTCAAGAATATCTGAGTGGACCATGATCTCCTACAGGAAATGTTTAATAAATGCTTGTTTAGATGTCCTGCTGATCATGCTAAGCTGTAAGACCCACAACTGATTAAAAACTACATTTATAGAAGTGGCTGTTACAACTGAATAATACTTACAGTGAAGTTTATCTGATAGGTCTAATGACATGCACAATCAGTGCGTGTTAAGAATCATTCTGCATGAAAGTAAGTTATATGCATAAATGAGAGTGATTCGGGCAAAACAGTTTTAGTTCTTTTTTTCTTTGATGGCTCATGACAAATAGCATGTACACACTAACACCACACACTATTTCAAAATGACCCTACACCTGTTCCCATCACACACTGCTCACACACGTACACACAGATGTTTTTCTCTGTTACCCAATAACTGCCCCTGAAGCTCCAGTCCTTCCTTCTGTTTCCCCCTTATCACCACTATCATCAAAAGATCTTGGATAACTCATTCTCTGCAAAATATTCTAGAATCTTCTGGATGTTGGGAAAGCCCATCATTTTAATAACTGTATTAATGCGACCCTGAAGCCACTGTGCACTCATGGAGCAGTGACAGCAACAATAATAGCTCACCTATTGTGACATCAGCCACTTTACCATCAAGCCCAAGCACTTCAGAGGTATTATCTTACAACAGTAACTTTCACGACAGTCACATGCGGTGGGTGCTTTTAAAATCCTCATTTTATAGAAGGGGAAACCTGCCAAGTAAGAATGCAAGCCTAGACAATCCTACTCCAGCACCCAACCACTTACCCACCACATCTACCACCTCTTGGTGGAAAGGGGAGCCTGGAACAGAAACACACATGGGAGCAAAGATGCCAAGAGCAAACCTGCTATAGAAGACGGCTGCACCTGCCACATGGATGATAGGGGTGCACTGAAGTGTGCGTAGGCCTCCAGGGTGCTGGGCCTGGGCAGAGGGGCTCACTGTATAACAACTCCCGCCCCCCTTCTGAGCTTGGATCTGAT